TTTTGGGACATTGTTCAGGCATTGATGCAGATTTTTGTGTGTGGATTCAAGTGTCACTAAGTTTACTTGTCTATATTTTGGGTTGTTTGTCTGCTGGGGTCCCATGTGCAAACTTCAACATATATTTATTTTTGACAAGCAGATGTCAAAATTTATAGACTCAATGGAGCCAGAAAATAATTTCTTTCTTCTCTGGAATCTCTAAATGATCTGGCAGTTTTCGAAATCCTGGAGGTCAGTGTCAAAGTATTGCAGTACTGCCCATCTCTGGTGAGGCCAAGAACCACATAAACATACTTTTTGTAGCCAAGGGACACATTGATGAAGTGATATTCGAAGGCTTGTGGGAAATTCTTCCGTGACGAATTTATATCCAAGAGGCTCCAAATTTGCCCATCCAACGAAAATTTTTGACTTTAATTCAGTTATATGCAATGAATCAAAAGCGAGGCATAGCAGAATCTCTGAAAAATTTCGAAATTTGCAAATCCATCCTTGATAAATTCTGAGTATTGACAGCTGCCACCATTGAACTTGTATGGAAGTGTGGCGGACAAAGGGTCTGGGCCGGATCCATCCGGCCCGCGGGCTGTATGTTCGACATCAGTGAACTTATTGGCACTGACTCACGTATCCAACAGCACAGGGTTGCCGGCAGTTCCCGCCGCGCGAGCAATTGATTGAGCCGGACATTGGCGGCAGCGACACCTGTTAAATAACCTGTTAAACACTGACTGACAGCAGAATAACCATTGGCACCGAGTCCGCTGAAGGGCGCTAACTGACGCTTCCGTGCATTCTCAGAATCTCCCTCAGGACCAGCCTCTTTTTAAAGGCAACAGTCACATAGGAAAAAAATAATAATTGCGTTGGAGGAGTCGCAATTTTAGCCGAGATGGAATCTTTACCACACCAAGCTTTGAGGGACGATAAAACATTGATTACACTGAGATTCGCATGGAAAATAAGAGCATTGTGACGAACGTTCTCCTTGAATAAGATATGAATTCCTTCGAACCTTTTTGTTTTAAATCAGAAAAGACCTGGCAATTGTTTTCCATTTGAGTTTGATCGTCAATAGTTCTTAATTTTTCATGTGTATAACTGTATACCATATTACCATTCATACTCTGCTTTTGAAACTTTTTTTCTTTGCGTTTATTACAAAAAAAAAAATGCTAACGGTTCTTGATTAATACAGTGCCGTCCAACCTCTTCAAGTTGAACTTCAAGGGGCCAGAAAAACAATTCAAGTTCAGGAAGTTTCAAGTTGGAGAAACAATCATTTTCGAGGGGGGTCGGGGAAGAAATTACTGTATAATCTCAGGAAATTGTAATATTCATGATACTTGTATACTTGGCCTTAAATTGCTTCTCAAATGTTTTGACATGATATTGAACTTGAAGGCACCGGTTAATTTTTGCTGTTAGCCCTTCACTTCTGTTGAAAACACTGAAAATAACTTTTTATTGCTTTTCTCTTTCTGGTGTCAATGAAGTAGTAGCCAAGAAGTCTCCAAAAATGTGAGTTATGTAAGTTAGAGAGGGTTAGCATTCAAGTTCAGGAGGCTTTTCATTTTAATACGGTGAGACCCCAAGATGCGGACATAATTGGTGCATTAAGAGTGTCCTCAAGTTGAAATGTCCCTAAATTGAGTCTAATTTTCCTGTAGACTTACATTAAATAATCTTTAATTGGTTTTTTATGTACAAAATACTCACCATAATTCCATGAATATAAAAATTGTTTCCCAATTTCAACTGATTCAATCTGATATTTTAACTGATATTTAAACAAAATATAGACATATGGGGAATTGAATACTGATACCTCTGTACAGTACATGGAAATGTTAGCATTCTCTGTACAAATAACATTCAAGTGAAAAAGAGAGAAGGAAGTTCCTCTCTGCTGGAGGTAATGTTTTTAAATTAGCAAAATGGATGGTAAATTGGTGAGAGAAATGCCAAAGAACTTTTCTTAAATCAATTTTAGGATTGGAAATATCTGTTTCTTTTAATTTGTCCTGAAATGTATTTGCAAATTTATAACAAAATGTCCCTATGTCAAGTCAGTGTCCTCATGTCAGGTCATTTTTATTAATTTTTTATGATAAAATAAGTGTCCCTATGTCAAATTGTCCGCAGGTCAAGGTGTCAGCATGTGGGGGCTCACTGTATATTGTTCTGAAGGGAATTCTGGTGGGGACTAGAAAAAGACATTGACACAGGGATGTATCTGACTTGGGTAGATTCATGTTTTCGAGGTTCTAGTGTAGAAGAAAAGACACAAAGCAATATTTTGTGACTAAATAGTGAATTTTTTATTTTACTTAGCAAATAGTTTTGGATTTATGGTTGATCACTTTGGAAAAAAAGGGTTTTGTTGGGGTCTGAGGCGCGCGCCTTTGAAAGATTAAATAAATAAAATGTCCTGCATTCCTGAAACTGGTGCTGGGGCATACAGAGAGCCCAGCACCAAAGAACTTGCCCCCAAGAACATTCAAAAATTGTAAATGCTGCACATTGTCTGCTTTTAACATGAATAGCCAATCTGAAAGTAGCAAAGAATCCCAACCTTCATCAAGGAGAAGCTTAACACAACCCTTCCTCAATAAATAATGTATAAAAGCCTCGTAGACTTGAAATCAACTGCACATTCCCATTCAGAATCTCATCTGGATTGCTAGCTTCCACTGCTTGAACCAATTCTCTGAAGCATTGTGTGAAATATTGTACAGTGAGACCCCTGTGATGTGGATGTAATTGGTGCACTATGAGTATCCCTAGGTTCAAATGTCCCTAAGTTGAGTCTCATATTCCCGTAGACTTACATTATATAAATTTTAATTGTTGTTTTATGGACAAAAGACTCACCATAATTCCATGAAAATAAAAAATTGTCTCCCAATTTGAACTGATTCAATCAATATATTTAAACACATTATAGACATATGAGGAATGGAATACTGATACCTCTGTACAGTACATAGAAATGTTGGCATTCTTTGTACAAATAACATTCAAATGAAAAAGAGAGAAGGAAGTCCCTCTCTGCTGGAGGTATTTTTTAAATTAGCTAAATGGATGGTAAATTGATGAGAGAAATGCCCAAGAATTTTTCTTACTATCAATTTTGGGGGGTTGGAAATAACTGTTTCTTGTAATTTGGCCTAAAATGTATTTGCAATTTTATAACAAAATGTCCCTATGTTGAGTCAGTGTCCTAATGTTGGGCCTTTTTTATTAATTTTCTTTGGGAAAATAAGTGTCCCTATGTCAAATTGTCCGCATGTCAAGGTGTCAGCATGTGGGGTTCTCACTGTATGTGTATATTTTTCTTGAAGAAGATGCATATATAGTTGTTGATTCTTTTGGGACATTAATTAATATAAATTTCTTGGAGCATCTATATAAGGAGGCTCCCAGCCTGTGGTGTTTTACTCAGGAATTTGCAGCATTTGGTATATGTGAATTCATTGTATCACTCAATTTACTTGTACTGTACCATTGTGGGCATGGATAATTCGGATCGATTGCTTTTCATATGTGATCTCGATGCATCAAACCAGCCACATGTGCTGTGTCCTCTCTGCTGAAAAGTGTTGCCAAGAAGAAACAAAAGTAAATGTTAATCCTGGAATTATGCATGACTGCAGACGAGATCTTAAGACCCCGTGTTGGTCCTGGCCGGTGACGCACGCGTGAGGTGTTCATTTCCTCGAGGCCATATTTCGGTCTCACCTTCCCCCTTATCTTGCATGAATAAGTTGTTTCCTTCGGAGAAGTTTTCTCTTTCTATTTTCTATCGTCTCAGTTTCCTGCTGCTGTTACCTTCTCTATAGACAGTAGACTAATGTATATAGCATAGACGTATCGAGCAAGGGACATCGAATCTCGTCAGGATTTTTTTTTTTTACGAAGAGTACTGCAGTATTATGGATTCTGTTCTCAGTCCACAGCAGACAGCTGAACTAGAAATCATGTCGCGTGGATTTGAACGAAGTTGAAAAATGATCACAGCTTCGTCTTCCCGTGTGTATTTTTAATGTTGGTGTTTTTTTTCTGAAAATTTCAAGTCATGTCGAAATTTGATACACGCAGATTACTTAGAAAAATGAAGTGATCCGTTTTACTCACGATTGCGGGATTTTGTCGCAATGAATTCAGACAGTTTTTACGGAAAAAGTCTGACCGAAATTTTTTGAGGATCAGCTCGCATTGTGCGAATTTAAATTTGAAATTCATCCACAGAACCAATTTGAAACGTTTTGCAGAAAACGTATATTTCCGGACAAGGAAATAAATCATGCCTAGCCAAGACGCAAAAATAACGTTTGTCAATTGAATTCAGCAATTTATTTTTACAGTAGCTCAAAATTCACCAATGGCTGTTTTGTTTCAGCACGTATCATGTATATAACAAATTATTTCGTGTCTCATCTAAACGCTGTACATAATACTTATTTGTCCCTTGAGGAAAAAGGAATGCAGCTGCTGATTTCCATGAAATTAGAGGCTGAAAGCAGAGAAAGTGGGGTTTTTCGGAATCACTCAAACAAAAAGCGAAATAAATTCGCTTTCTATTGCCAGTCTGAAGTTAAATGATCCTTTTCCAACTCGGGGTGGATTTTCTAATTTACTCCCATTTACGCAAAGGAAGATGAAAAATTTTAAATTTCGAAATTTCAAATCCTTAAACAGACTGTGATTACGAAACACAATTTTGTCTGCAAGACACCGTGTTTAAATTTGACTGCGGCAAATCTATATTTTTTCTGTGTGCGCTGTAAAAACGGCAGTTTCACCAATTTCTCATTCCCATTTTTGTGTGTGTATGTGCTCATAATGCAATAGTTGCAGGTGTTTTGCGTTATTGTGTGTGAAACCGAAGTTCTCGAAGTGCGTTTTCACGCCTAAATCCCAGTGATCCTAGTTTCATTAAAATTATCTTGTTATTGGATCGTTCCCCCGACAAAGGTTGGCTTAAGCTTCTGACGATGGTTGTTGAGACAAGTTTACCAAACGTGGTCAAGAGCCTCATGAACTCCAGGGCCATTCTCATGAAGAACAGACGAAGGTTTGTATGCAAAAAATTGATGCAATCTTTTATAGTACTTTTGCTGAGTACAAGTCAAACCTCTCAAAGTAGAATTTCAAGGGACCTGCAAAAAAATTCGACTTAGGGAGGTTTTGACTCAGGGAGGTCTGGAATTGTATAGGTTGGAACTGTAATACAAAGCCCTTTTTTCTGGAAAACTTGGAAACAATTTAAATGGAGATATTCTAAAGCGTAAATGGCTTCTTAAATGAGTTGAAAGGCTGCTGAACTTGGAGGCAGGGGTTTATTTTCCCAACTAAGTCTTTCACTTGTTTTAAAACGCATAAGTTTCTGTTTTTATTGCTTTTTTTCTTGTATTTTTTTTCAAGAAAATAATGGCCAACAGGCCAAAGAAAATTTGACTTACAGAGGTTTGAGGGGAAAAGCCTTTGACTTAGGGAGGGTTTTTATGTATTGTTTCTAAGGGGATTCAGAGGGGATCTGAAAAAAAATTTGACTTAGGAAGGTATTTGACTTATTAGGGAGGTTTGAGTTATCAAGGTTCACCTGTAGTAATACAGTATAGTGCACGTTAGAAACAGTCAACCTTTGATTCACTGCCACCTGATTTAGTGCCACCCTTGTATAGTGCCCCAAATATCTCTAATACAAATATCCCTCCAATAAATTTGCAAGAAAGCCTCCAATTCAATGCCACATTTACAATAGGGCCAAAAAAATATTTGTCATATGTTTAACCCTTGGATGGCGGAGAGTTCCTAGCTTTCCTGTGGCAAAGTTGGGGTTTTTTGGGGGAGGGCTTTTCCATTTGACCAAAGGTCACCAAAATTCCACCAGGACATAGCCTCGGCCTAAGTTGAGAAAAATCCAGGTGCAGAAAATCCCATTATCTCAAGAAATTCTCAACATTAATTGTATGTTGGGAATGCACAAGAAAATGCCACTCTGAGGTTTTTTTCTCTCTATTTTTGAGGCAACATTCTCTGCAAGATTATAAACAAAAATTATCAGAATTTTTCCTGACATAGGCCTTAGTTCAAAAATCAAATTTTCTCAATTTGCAAAGCTGATGGGGACAAAATCTGGAAAAAAATATCCTGACTTTGCAGCACAAGGGTTAACAAATTGAGCAAAATTGAAACAATCCAGGAACTGTCTTGAAGATATCAGGACTTTATAACTATAACAATAACTTTCCAATGCTCACATAAAACTCAAGGTCATGTTGAACATTCTTTTTTGAATTGAAAATGCTAGATTATTTTTTTGCAGGAAACGTTTTTTAATTGAAAAAAAAAGTGTAAGCTTTCATGAGAATCATTGGTGATTACTTTTCATATGGCACTGCAGTGTATAACTCAAATGGAGAAATGATCTGGAAAAACAAGTTTTCTCTTATACTAGACATAACATGTTCAAAAATCTTATCGATTCTGTTTGAATTTATATTTTGAAACACAACATAAAAACGGCGCATTTGAGCTTAAAATTACTCATTGTGGCTTCCTCCCTTATCAAGCAGACTGATTGGCCAAAAATGTCTGTAAGGAAACTTATTTTCTATTTTGCCTACTATAAAAAACTGTCAACTAAACCTCCCTCTTTCACTTACACCCTTGATTAGTAATTAGCCATTCTTGCGTAGTGCTACAAAATGTGCGCCAGGACAAATGATGGCACTAAAATGGGGTTCAACTATTTTTTCTGCCTCTCTGAAGGCACAATGAGTATATATGCAAAAATTCCAGTCAAATGTATTTTGCTGATGCGAAAACAATTGGGAACTCGACGCGAACTAGTACAGCAATTTCTGCAGGATAATAATAATTATGCGTCATATAATTATTGCTGCCTCATCTCGGTTGGCACAACGAATGAATGCAAAAAATCCACGTTCGAATGTATTTCCACGATGAAAAATGATTGAGAACGTGAAGTTCAGAACGTTTAGGTATCTTTAACCCTTTTATTTTCATCACGCCTCAACAGTTTTTTCGAAAATTCTTCCGTATCATCAATGGTTGATATTTTTGTCATATGATGAAAAAGTAAAAAACTTCAAGTTTTCCTCGATTTATTTCGGTGGAGATGGAAAGATTCCGAATTCCTGTGGCTGTTCATGTTGATTACAAGGGTAATCAGAGTGTACTGTACTTCCTCCAGTACTTCAACACACACCCTGGACCCTGGAGTAAGACACGTACCCCAGTCCATTTTTCACCCTAAAATGTTGATGCAAATTTTATTCCCAAGTAAGATGCGCAACCCATTTATTTGTGATTGAAAAACTGCAGTGAGACCACAAGATGTGGACGTAATTGGTGCATCAAGAGTGTCCCCAAGTCAAAATGTCCCTGAGTTGAGTCTTGTTTTCCCATAGACTTACATTATATAATTTTTAATTGGTGTTTTGTGGAAGAAATATTCTTCAGAATTCCCTGAAAAAAATTTTTTGTCACTTGAATTTGAATTAGTGAATACATTTTCAACTCAATAAGAGCATTAGGAGCATTGAATAGTGTATCTCTGTACTGTAAACTGAAATTTTGGCATCTACAAAAATAGCATTCAAGTGAAAAAAGTAGAAGTCCCTCTATGCTGGAGGTAATTATTTTTAACTAGCTAAATGGATGGTAATTTGGTGAGAGAAATGCCCAGAAGTTTTCTTACATCAATTTTAGGGTTGGAAATATCAGTTTCTTCTAATTTGACTTGAAATGTATTTGAAATTTTCTAAAGAAATGTCCCTATGTTGAGTCAGTGTCCTCGTGTTGGGCCTTATTTATTGATTTTCTGTGGGAAAATAAGTGTCCCTATGTCGAATTCTCCGAAGGTTGAGGCGTCTGCATGTGGGGGTCTCACTTTCAAAAATAAGAGACACCTGAATTGAATTTATTTTCAATTGCTTCGATTTTTTAAAAGTTCCTCTCAAAAACTAGCATCAAATTCGAGTGTGAGGTATAAAAAAATCTGTAATATTCAAAAATAAAAGATCCTGTCATATGCGATATCCCACCCTCCGTTTCTCCCTCTCAATTGAGTTTATTTCAAGATTTTATAAAAAAAAATCCAAAGAAACTTTCGCCAAAGGTTTATTTCTCCCTCATGTGATCGACAGATGATCAAACAAGTCGTTGAATTTTTCTTGTCAAACCCGAGCGTCAAAATAGTCATCCACACGTCATACGAGGAAATAAATGGAATTCACTCTTGTTGCACAGTTGCAGCCTTGTTTGGACACTTCGAATCTCCTTGTGTTGATCGAATGTCAAGGCAAGCGGGAAATTGAAACGAATGGAACTTTGATATTATGGTTCTCGAAGCGGTTTTGCATTTTGAGTTTCATGCGTCACTGCATGAATTAAAAATGCTCGCGGAAGTTGAATCCCTTGCTGCATGCGTAGTTGGACAAGTGTAGCGTAACATGAGGATCATCTCTGGAATAATTTATCGAATAAAGCTCGGTTGACGGGAAGGAAAACACGGAAGCCTTCATATCTGCGATTGGAAATTTGCATTTAGTTAAAATTGTGAGGAGTCCATTCTTCTTCAGCTAATTACGTCTGACATCTGAATTTAAAAATTGGCACGCGGCGTCATTCATCGAAATTGATGAAATGCAATCTCGCAGAAACTTGACTGCAAAATTTAAGCATGCACCAAAGTTGACAACAGACAAAAAAAGGATGGCGGGAAATTGAAAATGAGTTGAAGTATAGATAACCTGAGGGTGTGCACAATTATATTTCAACGCACAAATGTCAGTGCTGGCCTTCAAGAATGAAATATTTCTTGTCAAAGATTCTCTGTAATTTTTTCATTCAACTAAACCTCATATACAGAAACAAGCTGAAGACCTTGTGCTTTAAATTAATTTTTAAATATATTTTGTTACCAATGTCTGGGAATGAACAGGTATATGCATATACGGGTCAGATATCCAGTTGTATTTCATGTTGTATTGTATTTTCTTTTATTTTTGTTAGCAATTTGTGCTTTCCTGCTCTGAGGTGATTAAAATGTCATTGAGTGGATTTGGGTTGGGTGGGAAGGGGGGTTTGGTTGTGGAAATCTTGAGTGAACCTTGTGAACGCTGAAAAGCGGCAAATAAAGTGTTCTGTTCATTCATTCATTCATGAAATAAGCAACCAAACTCTTCCATGTTCATGAATTTAATATGCAGTATTGTTGTGCATGATTTTGCTTTCCAATTGCTAGCATTATGTTTCAGGAGAAGGTTTCTTTAAAAATTCACAAAAATCCAAGTTAAAACCCCAAGAAAAATGGCATTCCCTTACAGTATTGTATTCAGAGCCAACGTATTATTTGTGCTGAAATATTCCCGTTGTGAAAATTGTTTGTTTCTGAAGTTTTCTGAATTATACTTATTTGATATTGTGGGACCTCAATAAACTAAATTCATCTTTAAATATAAAATAATAATGATTTATCCTGGCAATACCATGGCTAATTGCTGTGTTCCGTTTTGTTTCTTTGATCCCATAAGGTGAAAAGATCTTGGAAGCATATTTTGTCAGTCACATTCCAAGATTGTTAGCTGATTTTTCAATTATGTAATTGAGACTGGTGAATTTATTTCCAAAATAAATCTCTTGGTCAGTATAATATTTGAATGATCAATAAATACACCTAGAGCAAAACATTGTTCACCATCTTGTGTTTTGTCAAGAAATTTCGAGAACAGCGAATACCTTAGGCGTTTAAAAACACTGTACGTCAATCTCATGTACAGTACTGTACCACACTAACATGAACATGAATTAAATTTCTCAGGTGTTGAAGCAAATACTCCCACTCAAATTTTCATTTTGAATATTTTCTGATGAATTTGCTCAAAGCTGTTGCAGTACGAGTACAAGTAAAATTCATAAAGAATACATGCACTGCTGAATGATTGAAGAAACATTGAATCGTCAACTTTTTTTTTAGGCTTGGAGACAGCAAACGGATTCCCAATGTGGAGAACGCGCTCTTCGACCTTTTCAAAAACGAGGAAAATGAAGTTCCGATCAATAAATTCTTTCTCGTAAGTTATACATTTTTGTGATTAATGCACAAATTTCTGTTCCTTTCCCACTATGAATTTTCAGCGGAAGGTCATTTGCATTCTTTTGGGAACTTTTCGCAATGCTTCTCACATTATTCGATGTTTTAAAGTACACTACTAATACGACGTCGATTCCAATAAAAAGATTCCTTGCTATTTCCGCACGAAAGATAACCTCAACCATCTGAAATTTCCTGTATATTTGAAAAAATTAATCAGTGGCCTCTGTGATCATTTGCATATATTCAATATGCCTTTTGAATATGTTCTGTATCTGGAAGTTGAGATTAAAAAGGAATGTTCGGGGCTCAAGGAAAACCGTATAAAATCAAAATTTGGCCTCAACAAATATTTTAGACTTCCATGTTTTAAAAACTGTTTAGCATATAATCTTCAATCTTTTTTTTAGAAAATAAATTTTTAAAATCAGGTTGTATCGAAGGGATGTTTCAATCAACTTCCAATTCGCGCAGTTGAATTTCACGGAAAATCCGAAAAGATCATGAGACAGTCAGGAATAGCTTTTAAGCAGATTTATGGTTGAACACTCGAAAAACATAGATTGATTCGTTCCATGTATTACTAAATATCACTTTTTTTTTATGGAAAACGATACTTAAATGCAAATTTGTTTTCTTTTAGGCTCTGGAGACCACGGGGTTGCAGAAAAATGACCCCAGGTTGCGGGAAACGCTGGAAAACCTGGAACGCGTCGCAGCAGCTGAAACCGAGAAAGAAGGCGAACCCGTGTCAATTGACAATCTCCATTTAGATAAGGACACCTTCAAAAGGTACTCTCGAGATGGACAGATCATTTTTGCTTGACAGAATAATACAGTACTTGTGGTTGAATTCCCTCATGAAATTGAAGATCATCAAAAGAGAAGGGAACGAATACTGCTGAAAATAAAATAATGGGGCGTTCAGAAAGATGAGTTTTGAGACACCATAGTCAGTGGTTTCCACAAGTTCCCATTGTTTTCTCTGAGTGAATTACAGTGAGACCCCCAGATGCAGACATAATTGGTAAATGAAGAGTGTCCCTAAGTCAAACCTTTTTCCCTGTAGACTCACATTATATGCTTTTAATTGGTGTTGTGTGGAAGAAATATTCTTAAGAATTCCATGGGAAATTTTTGTTTATGTTTACTGCTTCACAGCTCATTGACATGTTGGCATCAGTAAAAATAACATCCAAGTCACAAAAAGAGAAGGAAGTCCCTCAGTGCTATAGGTAATTTTTAAAATTAGCTGATAGGATGGGAAAGTGATGGGAACAGTACCAAAGAATTTTTCTTGCATAGATTTTAGGGTTGAAAATATCTGTTTCCTGCAATGAAGCCTAATAAAAGTTAATTTTCCTAAAATGTATTTGCAATAATGTTATCATGCAATGTCCTCATGTTGAGTAAGTGTCCACATGTCAGGCCTTTTTTTATGAAGGAATTTTTTTAAACTGTTCTTGTTAAGGAAAGTTGAACTCTAAATTTTGCTTGCACCCATATCCCAATTACTAATATTTTAAGAAAAGTTTGGCATGCCCTGTTTTAAAAACTCAATCGCATATACATTTTTGCGCAAAAACAAGTTCGATTATAACCTGATTTTCGAAATGAGCAATCTTTTTCAAAAGAAATGTATTAGTTTTTATTGTACGATTATCTTCCTAGCAGAGAGAATTGCAAAATAATCCTTGCAAAACGCTTCACGTATTCGTGTCTGCTAGTTTGTTCATTCCGACGTAATTTCGGTTGTTTTCCGCCGTTTTTTTTAAAATTGATCCTTCGGTTTCTTTTCTTTTTTTTTAAATCCAGTGTTGTGTCCTACAACATCGTCTTGATTTCCAAGGCGTTCCGTCAACAATTCGTCATTCCTGAATTTATTCACTTCACCAAGCACATCGAGGACTGCTACAGAAAGTGCTCGGACATCAAAGATGGCAAGGTGAATTATCCCTTTTTTATTAATGCAAATTCGTGTCAAACTGGAATCCGGAAACAGATCGCGGGTAAATATTCGGGAATTAAAGTACTTTATTGAGCCGATTTATGAATAAACGGGCAATTAAAGTTATAGTTGCTTACATCACAGATTGGTGTGAATACAATGTTTCAAGTAGATTATCTTCCCAAGGGAAAATTGTAACTAATGTTGATGCACACGATACGTGAAAAGAAGACAAGTGCACGAATTTTTTTTTGTTTCGTTTGCGAAGTGATCCACACACATTTCAGCATTGCAAAGATTATTATTTTTCCTCTCTCCATTTCTCGATCGTGTCGTGTCTCGCACAAAAATGGCAGAATGCATCGTACATTCCTCAATTGGCAAAGATGAACTCGGATTACTGGGGAATCTCTGTATGCACTGTGGATGGTCAACGATTTTCTCTCGGAGACTTCAATGTTCCCTTCACTATGCAATCAACAAGGTATGCTGTACTTTTAACAAGCATGATTTGACTAAATTGTATTCTTCGTCCAAATCTCATTTGAGCGAAATTTGAAAGAAAATGCGAGGCATGAATCTCGAGCGCTGTTTTATTTTTAAATTATATTTCAGCACCATTTTAGTCCGTCATCGGAAAGACATTTCGTCAGCATGAACACAATGCATTTCCTGGAAGGTCTACCACATGTTTTCCATGCAATTTTTGGTTAAAATAAATTAAAAGGCATGTTAAAAATTCCCGTTCTCAAACATAGCTTCAATTGACAAAATTACATTTCATCGTCATTTTGGCCCGTCGTCGGAAATATATTTTTTTAAAGGATTATTACTGTGAATTCTGTCGAAGTTTGACGACGACGGAATTTTTCCTGTAAAATTTTCGGTTAAAGAAATCTGAAAGCATATTCAAATTATACGGTCGAGCGTTGTTTAAAGTGTCGAAGTTATACTGTATTCCAACATCATTTTAAGTCAGCCATCGGAAAGACATTTCGTCAGAATGAATTCAGTAAATTCTTCGAAGTAACCTTTTTTTTATGGTCGACGCGTAAATTGAATGCTTCTCATCCAATGTAGAAATCATTCCTGATGATGTGTGCATTCGGGAAATTGAACGTAACTCCATAAGAATATGATTGGAAAACAATTTTGAAATTTTTGGCTTTGTTATATTAACGATGGCTTTATACCTGTGTTGTTTTTCTGCGTGTGCTGGAATCACGTCGCAGCAAGGTGCTGACATACGTCGTTGCGCATTCTGAACTGGGTTCTGAGCAGATCCACAAATACATTGGGCAAGAGCCCAGTGGCCGAATGTTCAATGAGCTCGTTTTGGACCACAATCGTAAGTTCTCCTTTTTTATTTTTAGTTTATTTTTTATTCATTTTTTACAGCCAAACCTCTCAGTCAAATTTCAAGGGACCTGCAAAAAATTAAACTTAGGGAGGTTTTGAATTACAGTATATAGGTTTGAACTACAATGCAAAGCCCCCTTTTCAGGGAAACTTGAAAAAAAGGAAATTGGGATTTTCTGTGGCTTAAGTGTCTTCTTAAATGAGTTGAGAGGCTGCTGAACTTGAAGGTAGGGGTTCATTTGCCCAATTAAGTCTTTCACTTCCTTTAAACTGCATGAATTTCTTTTTTATTGCTGTTTTTTTTTTTTACTTGGGTCAAGAAAATAATGGCCAACTTGCCACAGAATATTTGACTTATGGAGGTTTGAGGGGAAGAGAATTCAACTTAGTGAGGTTTTTAAAGTTTTGTTTTTAAGGTGATTCAGATGGGGACCTGAAAAAATTTTTGCTTAGGAGGTTATTTGACTTAGGGAGGTTCAAGTTATTGAGGTTCGCCTGTATATCCCTACAGACCTTTGCATGGTGATAGAAAGATAACAAATATTATTGATTTGAAGGGTGAGAAAATTAAGAATGGTTAATGAACTGTTGTTGAGCAATCAAGATCCCTTCCAGTGGTAAAATTTCAGGGCTGGAACCTACAAAGAAAACAACTTCAAGTTGGTTGGTGCTGATAACATTGGGAATAAAGCACTTTTTTCATACATTTTAGTTTGTCCTGAGAAAGGTTGGGAGTGTCATTTGTTCTGCATCATGGTTTTGTAATTTTGCATAGAAAATTAGTTTGTTGTATCATGTACAATAATGTAACTTTGATCATTGCACTGTTTACCAGTTTGCAACATTTCAACCATCATTCTGGTTTACTGTTACTGTCTGCATAAGGTTATGAACTGTCTGCAGCATGCATCCAAATTGACCAACAGGTGTGCAGACTCTATTTCATCACTCATCATTTCTTAGTCTGGCTCTATTTGGAACAGTGTTGATGGAATCTAGGAATATTAGCTTATATCATTGGCAAGAGGAGTTGGTTGAATTAATTAAACAACCTGGCTATAAAGAACTGAAACCTCCTCTTTAGTTATTGTTTATCTTGTGCAATAATCAGTTGTGAATACAGGTGGTGCCCTGAAATTTCACCCTAATCCATTGCTGGACTATAGGTTTGATTAAAGAAAATTAAAGAATTCATGAAAAATTTGTTGGCCTTGAGTGATGCTTGGTGAGCTTTGCCAAAACATGATTTCACATGATGTCACAGGGCTGTCTCTGCTGTGCACCAGCAATGAATAAGGCGTTAGAAGTTGTTTGGTACTTGGCAGCATGTGGCAAAATCTGTCAGCCAGTGCTGTTCAGTAGGTAAAGGATTCCAATGTCCAACTTTTTTATAAAATGGGAAGAATGAAACTTGTGCAATGAAACCCAGAGTGACAAACCACTTGGTCAATGAACTTTCCAGTCAACAAATTTGAATTTCAAGGAAAACACCCTTGCTTGAATACCAAACTTGGTTTGGTTCACTGACAGTTTTCTTTTATTATTCTTATAGCATTTGGTGAAAACATTACGTATAGTATGTGGAAATTTTAATTTGGTTATTTTCTGCGCAGTTGTTCGACTTCCTCATAGCAAAGATCCTTCACAATTTTCACATTCCTCTTATTTTGAATATTTATCTTCCTCTTTGTGTGTTTTTTTTTTAACATCACAGAGAAACCACACAACCCAATGATCAACGCTGGTGCAATTTTGACGGCGAGTTTACTGCAGACTCTTGTTCACCCAGAAATGAAACACAGCGAGAAATTTGACTGGCTCATGAGTTATTTCAAGGTGAGGCATTCTTGCGAATTTTTCGTATTTTTGAAATTTCCAGAGAAAAATGTGTTCTGAAGTCTGAAATCTTTTCAGGTAACTCATTTATATAGGAGTGAAGCATTTTGTTGATTTCTTTATGAAGCCATCCAGATAAAAAAGAATTTGCAGCTGGAGACGTGAAATAACTGTGAAGCAAGAATATGTGCTTTTTACTGAACAGCGAATTTTTGTGAAAGCACATCCAGATGATGCGAAAAATGTTGAACACTGCGAAAAATTCGCGGATGTTTGGCACATGAGATCTCTGATGCAAATATTTTTCAAGCTGATGCATGAAAGATTTTTTTTATTCAACGCAGTCATCAGTACTTCGTTGTGAATATTTCGTCTCTCCAATGTCCAGGTGTTTTTGCGCAAAACATTTTGAAAAGAAAATGTGACCCTAGAAAAACGCGAAAAGCCCACAAAATGATCAAAAATCTTGCTTTCTTCTAGATTTTTGCTTGTGCTGCAAAGTTGAATATTTTATGAAACTGTGACTTTTTTATTTCTTGGTGAAGTTGCAGAGAAATCTGACGATGCTTTAAACTTTGGTTGAACAGGTTCACAATTCTCCCAAGTTTCAGAAAAAGTACAGAATGTCGTCGAAACCAATTTATTTGGAATTCCTCGCGATAAATCAAGATTGGTGATCGAATTTTTTGCTCAAATTCGAATGCCAAATCACGTGCATGCCAGGAACGTTTTAACTATTTTTGGAACCACCCGCAGTGAAAATAAAAAAATTGCGTCTGATGCAGGACTTGCTTATTCGCACTGATATTTCACTCGAAAATTCCAGATATTTTTCAAAAATACAAACTCCAAGTTCGTCCCGAACAAATGATTGATATTTTTTGTATATAGAGATTAGCTGGAGGTCAGCCCATCGGATTCAACAACGCCGTTTTCATGTCAGAGAGGGAAGACGCCGATCGAAACTTCGCCCTCGCCTATTACATGAAAGAAAATCATTGCTTCACTGACGGGACTGATTTGAACACGTGTCTCGACCTTTACTTCCAGGTGATCAATATAATTTTTTCAACTTTAATTGCACTTTTTTCGTTCGATTTGCGATGATTAGACTGCGAGCGAGAGAGAGAGAGAGAGAGAGAGAAGCCTTTGTGATACGTCCCTTTATTCTTTGTGCTCTGTGGTCATGCTAAAAAGAATGATGAAAAGGTATAGAATGTTGAATCACTTTGAGGATCAAAAATCGTGCGCAGTACTGAACCAAGATCGTATATTTTTGAAACAGTTCCGCAATTATTTTAGGAATGCTAATGTAGGTCCATCAGAAGTCCAACATTTTTAAAATTGAACGAAATAGTAATATTTGAAGCGTCGGATTTGATTTAAAATTGTTTCCTCAAGAAAACGGCCAAAACCGTCTTAATGCTATGTAATTTTTTTTACAGTATTTTAACACTGATTTCATCGTTCCTCGAAGAGCGAAAAGAATTTTGAAGAAAAGCATTGTATATAAAATTTATGCTGAGAAAAAATGTGAAAAAGACCTAAAGAAAACATGTGACATCGAGTTTTAGTGACAGAATTAGGAAAATAATTCAAGTTCAAGTGTCCATTCCTCCGTTTCTAAAAACGCTCAGTTGTCTGATGACTTCAAGTTGGCCTGTTATAGCCAAAAACTCGTGCATTTTGTATGCACAGTATGTACTCGATTATCAGATGCCTTCGGTCATAAAAAAGCCCCTGAATTGCTTGCCTTAAAAATTACAAATGATTGCCAACCACCTAATACGTGACGTCCTTCAATTATTGCATTCAATGTCTCCAAAATATGGTGCTTCTATTTATTGCTTCTTTTCATTGAAATCCTTCAGATTTTCCGTCTGAATTTCTTCAAGGTATTCAGAATTTTAACTCTTATGCTCTGAAGTGAAACTGGTCTCACAGATTATTTCAATATTGAATTTTGTCCTAGGTTTCTGTTGGAAAGGTTGCGTTGATCCAAGAAAAAGAAGAAGAAGAAATTCTCGCGTGAATCTGGATCGCCATCAATTTTAACCCGTCATGAAATTGTACGAGTTCATCAATAATATGAAGGACTCATATGATCGTAATTTTGTGAAGGAAGTGCGCACTAATTTTTTATGATTACTATTTGTTGTCAAAAAAAACAGCGCTCTGTTTCTTATATTTCCGAGTGAGTACTGTATTATAAATTTCACCGAAAAAAAAATCAAAGAAGATTTTGCAACACCCCCAAAACAAATGTCGTCTTCGTGACACATTTTTGTCCATCTTTCGATTTTATTGAAAAGGAACGACTTGTTTTCGTGAAAGGGATTTGTTTGCGTTTTTTTGATTCTTTGAATTTTTGTGAACTCAAACTTGTATAGACTTGCTCGATGGAGGTGACCTGCGAGGCGATGGCTGTTGTGACCGCCACCTTGGCTAACGGCGGCATCTGTCCGACGACCGGGGAACAAGTGCTGGACGGAACTTCCGTCCGCGACGCCCTTTCCATCATGCATTCCTGCGGCATGTACGACTACTCTGGCCAGTTTGCCTTCAGGGTGAGGAGCTCATTCCAAGCCTTGGGTGAAATGAGAGGAAAAATGTTTACGCAAAATTGAGTTTTCCAAGCCCTTTCCAGAAATGCATATCTCTCAGGATTTATTGGATCCCAGGCAAAGGAAATGAACAAATTGCAGCCATCAGAGTTGACACATCTTGAAAGACTTGAACTTGTTTTGTCCTTCACAGATGAGTTTCTATTCAGTGCTTTAGATCAGTGTTGCCTAACTGTTTTGAGCTTGTGGACTGTCAAATTGAAAAAAACAATTCTGCAGACTGGCTGAGTTTCATTCAATTTTTGCAGACTCTAGTTTTGCCTGAAAGACTTGATGGCAGGTAGTAAAAAAGTTTCTGATTTTTTGCAAAAATTATGATGAGAACTAATGAAGCTACTATATAGGAGGGCTTACACGTTTCTGCGTGGACTCATTCTAGCAAAGACTCAAACTGATCTGAACACCAGTGATTTTTAAAAACATTGTTCTCATGTTCACTAGTTCAAAGAGGTTAGGTATACACCTCCTCAATTTCATCACTAGCAATTTTTATGTTCTTCTTAGCCCTTTTGATCCATGTGTTGAAATTAACAGGCCTTGAAATGTTCAGTTGCTGAGTTTTGAAGCTTCCTAGGAACAGCAAATAATTTGGCCATTATCTACTTGCGTTTACGCACTAACGACAGCCTTATAGACGTCCAGAGTGGACGTCTATCCAGGCGGCCACTGAGACCATAAAAAGCAGGCATTATACCCGCCGGGAGAGACGGGGATAGGATTGCCGCTTCCCCTGACGGTTATCCTGGCAGTTTGGGCGCCCCCCCCCCCCCATATTCCCGCCAAGATTCCTGTTTTTTTGACGCTGTTCCCTAAGCCAAACATACAACAGTGATTGGCCAGAGCAGAAATTCTGGCCAGAAACTCTAGCATCACAGCGCAGATCTGGTAGTCAAGATCCATGCTGTGGTACAACAGTGGTCTGATTCCTGTGATTGGCTGCAGTATTATACCACAGCCAATCACAGCCTCGCAGCATGGATGACCATCAGGTTTAGGTACGACGTCATAACATTGGAGTTGTTACAATGTTGTGACACCTTCGTTACCTTTCTAAGTTATATTACTTTATGTGTAATATTGTTACACATTATTACTCGTTATGTCGTCTAAGACATTTACTTTTGGGATAGATGAAAATTGTAAGTAATACACTGGGTCTGTGTACTTCTCATGAAACATTTCTTTATTCTTACACTATTAATTGCAAATATTAACACTGTTACCACAGTGTTCTTCTCAAGTTGTTGCAATGTTGTCAGAATTTCACACAGGAACTGTTGAAAACACTTTGCAAACATTTGTAAATGAATTTTTCATTTCACATGGATTACATTGAACCACTGTTACACACTATTATCATAAAGTTACAACACTTTTGTGATATGACCATGTTGCACTTCATGAGATAACTTATAAAGTCTTTTAAAAAGCATTAGACTATACACAATTGATGCATTCATGCATACACCATATTGCAAATACAACTTGACTTTACACACAGCAGTGTGCACACTTGCAATACTTTGAGAATTAACCTCCCATTGCAACAATTTTACAACACTGTTGAAGCAGTGTTAAGACAGTGTTGTTTTCTGCAATTGTCAGGAACACATCAATTGATCTTTACAAACATTTTACAACAATTTCTTGTTGCAAGAGACTTTACAGCAATGGAAAGATTCAATATAATGAAATACATATTTTAACAATGTGTAATAATAAGCAATACAGCAGTATGACATTTATTTTTGGGATATATCAAAATTGTAAGTAATACCCTGTCTCTGTGTCATTCTCATGAAACATTTCTTTATTCTTACAATATTAATTGCAAATATTAACACTGTTACAACAGTGTTCTTTTCAAGTTGTTGCAATGTTGTCAGAATTCCACACAGAAACTGTTGAAAACACTTTGCAAACATTTGTAAATGAATTTTTCATTTCACATGGATTACATTGAACCACTGTTGCACACTGTTATCATAATGTTACAGCACTTTTGTGATATGACCATGTTGCACTTCATGAGATAACTTGTAAAGTCTTTTAAAAAGCATTAGACTATACACAATTGATGCATTCATGCACCATATTCCAAATAATACATATTGATTTTAATTACAGCACACAGCAGTGTGCACACTTGCAATATTTTGAGAATTTACCTCCCATTTATGACAATAATGTTACAACACTGTGGAAACAGTGTTAAAACATTGTGGCTTATGAAAACAGTTTTATAACACTGTTGAAGCAGTGTTGAACAATGTTGGTATAAAAAACAGATTCTTCATATATTTAATTGGGGTATACTGCTATTAGCATCCATCACTTTCACCCCCTTATTTATTTTTGCATAAGAACTGCATTTTTCCAGAGTTTCAATATGATGCTCTAATCAGCCCGCCAATCTAAATATAGGATAAATAAATTTGAATAACAATAAGAGTTATTGCTGGTCTGCTTACTATAATAAAATTACAATGCTTTTAAAAGCATTGCAATAAAAAAGGTTTTTTACAGGGTAAAATATGCTTTTAAAAGAGTCAGAAGTTGACTCTTTCAAAAGCATCAAAGAAAAACATTTTTAACAGTGTAAAAAATGCTTTTGAAAGAGTCAAAATGTGACTCTTTCAAAAGTGTCACACAAAAACGTTTTTAACAGGGTAAGAAACACTTTTGAAAGCATCAGCCTCTGACGCTTTCAAAAGCGTCATGGAAAAACGTTTTTGACTAGGTTAAAAATGCTTTTAAAAGCGTCAACTAAAAACGTTTTTTACCCCATCCTGACCGCGTCAGGAAAACAGATCCCTCCTTGCATCCAAAACCGTTTGACCACCATCTGAAATGGCCACGTTACGCATAAAAATAGCCGCTATCTCAGGCGGCAATCTGAAATGTTTGCTGGGAGGAAGCTATTATTGCTGCTGTTGCTAGGAAGCTTCAAAACTCAGCAACTGAACATTTCAAGGCCTGTTAATTTCAACACATGGATTAAAAGGGCTAAGAAGTGCATAAAAATTGCTTGTGATGACATTGAAGGAACAGAAGTTGTGTTACCCCTTTTTTAGTGGAATGTCTGGAAATTTTTTTAGAAAGGTTGGCTAGAAGAAAGGTTTCTCAGAAGGAAAACTTGAAATAATATATTTACGCCAGGGATTTGTTGGAATGTTATTAGGAGAAATCCAATGTATATTTTTATAAGATAATTTCATCTGCTGTTGTCTTGCCGAAATTTCAGATAAAGATACTGCAACTTCATTGCTACTCAGAATGAAAACTTGAAATAATATATTTAAGCCAGTGAAAATTTGTTGAAGTGTTATTAAGAGAAATCCAATGTATATTTTTATAAGATGATGTAAACTGTTTTTTTCTTGCCAAAATTTCAGATAAAGATACTGTAACTTCCTTCATTGCTAATTTTGAGGAATTGATTCTGCTGGAAAAAATGTCCCTCAGCCCAGCAAATAATATGTGCAGAACTGCAACGGTCCGTGCTCCACGGGTTTGGGAACGCTGCTATTTGATTGTTATTAGGTCATTGTTTTGAAAAAAAGGAAATAAATTGAGCTTTTCAATTAGTAGGGTGAGTTAGATAGGATGAATTCAATTTTAAATTTTGTGTTATATGCCTACTCTTATGAACACTTGGCCACTTATCCTCCCAAGCAGAAATTATTGTTTTTATACCTGAGATTTTTCGGGGTCATATTAAACCATCTGTCCAAGAGCATGTATTTATTATTCATTTAAATATTTCCAAAATGTAATCCTTAACTTATTCATAATTAAGATGAGTGATACTCATTGTTGTCTCATTGTTGTCTATTCTCAGGTTGGATTGCCGGCGAAAAGTGGCGTATCCGGAGCAATTGCTGTTGTTGTTCCGAATGTGATGGGATTTTGCACATTTGCTCCTCCGTTGGACCATTACGGGAATTCCGTCAAGGGCGTTCAATTTTGCAAGGTGAAATTTACAGCATGAAAAGAATGGTCTAACAAAATGTATGCTTTTATTAGCGGAGGAGAAATTCCGTACATGATTCTTTGGAATTGAAGATTCCTACCATATCTAAATTCAACAAAATGTTAGCGGTCTGAGGAAATGGAAGAAACTCCGAGGACAGGAAGTGCTACTAAATGTAAAATTTCGTTTTGATCACGCGTTATGACTATATAGTCAGTCAAGTAAATGGAAAATGGTTTAGCATATTAGATGATTTACTATTTGAAATGAATAATTTTTGGAGAAGAAGTAATTTTCTCATATGAAACGAAATGTTGAATTTTGTATTTATCTCATGGGCTGCCAACATTTTTGTATCAAAATATTTTTTGGCTCGTTTTTACTTGATTCTGAGCAAATTTATGAAAAATTTCAGGGTTTTTATTTATGAAAATGGGGTATCTTGTTGATTAATTCGGTTCCAATTCGGGTAGTTTCACGTTCGCTGCAGTTCACGTATCCAAAAAATAAGTAATTCCTTCCGTTGATGTAAACTTTGTAAAACATGTGCAGGAAGTGGTCAAAATATTCAACTTCCATCGGTATGACAACTTGAAGCATGCAGAAAACAAGAAAGACCCCAGGCGACACAAATACGAGGCTAAGGGCCTGGACGTGGTCGCCTTGCTATTTTCGGCGGCTGCTGGCGACGTGGTGGCGATGAGACGGTAATAAGAAGAGGCTTTGAGGAATGAAATTATCATTACAGGGAATTTGTAATTTCTGAAAATTCAAAAGGCGTGTATAACTTTTGATAAGAATGAAAACCTGTCTGAACAGCACCATCTAGTTGAATGAAAAAAAACATGAAATGAATGGATTGAAGCATGTGTATGTGCTGAGGAGAGCAAAAAGGAATTGTAAATATGTGTTTCCAATAATGTATCAATTCACAGCAAAGTTCAGGAGGCTAAGGAGTAGTAATTGCCCTGATACAGTACATTGTTTATATCCACTTAAACACACTGTCTCAAGTCTCTCATAGATTTTCTTCAAGGAGAGAGTGATGTAATTGGAGAGTGAGGGGCTGGGGGACACACTAGAGTACTAGACATCTACCCCAGAACAATATATTCCTGTGCAACTTCCAAAGGGCTGTACAATTCTTCTTCAACATTCTGATCCTTCAGGATTCTGGACAAGGAAATTAATGAGTAAATTGTTTCATAAAATTGAACCTCATACCAGGGTTGTCCCAGTTGGACGTGACCTGTGATATTTTCAGAGTAGGGGTGATTGTAAGAAAAAAATCTGTAATAGCCCTTGATGTTCTAAGGTTTTGGGATTTTTTTTGGGATTTAAAAAAAAATTTTCTCTATTTACTGCTGCATGACAATGAGCAAAAACTTTTCAGTTAAAGCTGGGTTCCCCAGGCACCCATGTCACAGAGAGCTAATAAATTGTCAGGCTAGCTAAAAGGAAATAGTTTTTGTGTTCCTTAACCCTTGGACTGCAGAGGGTTAATTTCCATTGTGAGGCAAAGTTGGGATATATTTTGGGGATGGAGCATTTCAATTTGACCCCAGGTTGCTGAAATGCTCCCAGGTTGAGAAGGCCTAAGTTGGGAAACATCTGGGAGACAATTTTCTTTTGTTTTAAGGAATCTTCCATGCTGATCCTAAGCCAGGAATGCAGGAAAAAATGCCACCCATAGTGAGGGATTTTTTTTCATCCAACATTTTCTGCTGGATTAGAAAAAAATGTTGGAATTTTTCCTTACTTAGTCCTTTGTACAAAAGCTGCATTTTTTAAATTCCCAGTTCTCAGTGACGCAAAATTTTGCAAATATATCCCAACTTTGCTGCACAAGGGTTACATGAATATACGGTATAACATGTGGAAAAGCTAAGGGGTGAATCATGAACTTTCAATTTTTAACTTGCATGATGTCTTTTTTTGCAACCTGTGACATGGGTGGAAAACTCTGGCTGCAACTGGAAAGTTTTCACCCATCATCATAAATTAAAAAATTGACTTAGAAATCCAAAAAAAATCCCAGAAGCTTAAAACATTATTGGCTACTTGATTATTAATATGCATATATATATATATATATATTTTTTTTTTTTTTTTTTTTTTTTTTATTTTT